GGGGTTGGGACGCCGTGCGCGAGGCGGGGCTGGGGAGCCGGGAGAGCTGTATGCGGGGGGCCCGGGGACACTGTGCGCGGGGATGGGTACTAGGTGCGGGGCGGGCCAGCAAGCCGGGGAGGGGGGTGTTGTGCACTGGGGGACCGGGGCGCACAGGGGCCTGGGTGCCTCGGGTGACCGAGCGGCATCCCAAGCCCTGTGCGCTTCTCTCCCGGCTTCTCAGGGCTGCTGTGAGCCAGGTTCCTAAGGGTAGTGGCTGCTTAGTGCGGTCTCTGCTTGTGCGAAGCCTGGAAGTGTATACACCCCTCCCCCCGCGCCCCCTCCATCGTGAGGCCAGTAGTCTGTGTTGCGGAGCCTGGGGGCCTTAGGACTGTGGTGTCATATAAGGTAGTAGTAGCCGCTTGTGGCTGTTTAGATTTAGCCAAAATGTTAAGTTTATTCCTCCGTGGCACTAGCCATACCTCAGGGTCTCCAACCAGTGTGTGTAGGGTAGTGTGTGGCTAATGGCAACCGTACTGGATGGAGTAGATGTTCATTCTGTTGGACAGTGCTGCCTAGAGGGCCGGCAGGGCCCCGGAGACGAGATTGTTGTTTAGGAGGTGGTGTTGGGGAGGTAACAGGGATCTGGTCTGCCCCCATGCCACCTTGCAGGGTCCTGTCCCGCGGCCTGGATCCAGAGGAGAGGGCTGCAGACCAGTGAGGAGGTGCGGATGCCCAGTGAGCAAACATCAGGTGGATCTTGAAGCCTTGGAATGTGAGGGGCCACCCTCTGAATGTAAGAATTCAGATCTTTGGGGAGAAGGGGCTTTTTGGCCTGGGAGGGCATCCAGGAACTTCACACACCTCTTTTCTCTGCTCAGTTGTGGTGTGGGACGGAAGTTGCTCCTGACCAAGGCATCATCCCCGAGTAATATTTAACCCTTCTGGACTCTGTCCCCATCTGTAACCCATGTGATGGTGCCCACCGTCCTCCCTGGGGGTGGGGGAGGGATGGGGAAGGATGGTCGGCTGGGAAGGAGGCCCATGTTCGCTGATGTGGAGCATGTGCACTGAGACGTTGCTTTAATTTTCCCATGGGTCCTCGGGTCCCCATGTGTCCTCTTAGCAGGGGTAACACAACCTCCCTGTTGGGGCACCTGGCTCAAACTCACCAGGAGCCCCGGGGCTCACACAGCCACCTGAAGGAGGAGGTCAGTCCTATGTCTGAGACTCGAGAGAGGAGAGCGGGGGTCTGATTGGTCCTCACCAAGTTCAGGTGGCCCAGTTCCCGCCCAGGTGGCAGTGGCCCCAAAGTGCCAAGGGTGGAGGGTTTTAGATGGCACTCCCAGTTTTATGAGCTTCTCAGAGCCCCTTCCCCCAGGCCAGTTGGTCGGGGCTGGAAGGACATCATCAGGACTGCACATGGATGCCCACACTAGCCTGCCCCAGCCCCCCTCAGGCGGGTCGACCAACCATCTGTGCCCTCAGAAGCCATCAGGGGCTTCTTGCCCTCCTGGTCCCCTGGACTTAGGGGAGCAGCGGTTACATCTCATCCCTTCCCAGCTGGAGGGCCCTGGGCATCTCCCCAAGGTGAGTTCTGCACACAGGGTGGAGGGAGGAGAGGTTACCACCTCTCCTCCCAGAGTGGGGGCACCTGCTACCCCCTATTTATGTCAGGAACCAACACAAGCCAGTTTTAGAGCAGACACATGTGTTATGCAGTAGTATTCCCCTCCTGACTGTGAGGCCCACAGATGGGGATGCTGTCGCTGTCCCCACCCTCCACCCTGTCTCTGCCCTTCAGGGGACAGAGCCTTCAGCACAGCCCCACGGCCCTTCCCTGTAGCCCATCTGGCTGTCCTCCCTCCCTTCCCCTGCAGCAGGAGGCAGCTCTCCGCTCTCTCTCCTTGCCCTGCCTCCAGGGAGAGGAAGGTAGAAGTTGGGGCCATCAGAGGCTGGGGCTTCTCCCACAGGAACTTTCATACTTTAGTTTTCTGGTGATCAAGTCCTGGCTGGCCTGGGTGGGCTGAAGCAGTTGACGCCCTGCCTGTGCCCCAGCCTTCCAAGCCTAATGCTCACGGATGGGCACCACCGTTCAAGTGTGGCATGCTAGGGAGGGGAGCAGGTCCCCGGCCTCTCCTGCCAGGCGGATGTGCAGGCAGGCGGAGGTCCTCGGGAGAGCTGATCTCTGCCAAGAGCCGCAGTGAGATGGTTCTCAAACAGAGCTGGTGGGATAAAACACTGACGGGACCCACAGAGGTCTTTCAATCTGGCCCAGCTCTTGCACCTTTGGTACCTGGAGCCAGGGCAGCCCGCCAGGGGGTGTCCCATGAGAGGTACATGGACGTGGGGGGGTCCCATCCCAAGTGCCATGGACATGGTGGCTAAGAAGCTGGGCGCAGGTCCTGGCGAACTGCTCAGCTCACCTGCCAAGCGGAGACGTGGCAACAGCTTCCTCACAGCGAGGGATTGACGGAAAGGCGACACGAGGTGCGAGGCGCTTGGAGGGAGTCACGGCAGCAGGCAAGCCCTTTATAAAGGTGGTAGAAAGCGGCTTGGCTGCAGGGAGCTGCAGAGCCACGTGGAGAGGGGCTGGGCGCCAGCTACCGGGTGTGGTGTATGCGCTGAGCCGGGGCCAACGCAGGGGGGTCAGAGCTCAGGTGCAGGTGTAAGCGGGGTGGGGAGGGAGCCCCTTTCACAACCATCTCCATGCCTCCCGGCGTGAGCTTCCCATCGGACAGCTTTGGGCTCTGCTGAGTCAGGGGTTACGTTCCCAGGTAGCATGTTTCCACCAGGGACACGCACGTTCCCCTGGGTGGCGCGCTGGGACACCGGCTGGCTGTTCCAGGCTCCCCGGGCCACTGACACAGCGGGCAAATCAGGGGTTGCTCTGCTGGGTGGAGGGACTGATCCTGTCTTGCCGGGAGGAGGACACTGAGCTCAGGACATTCTCCTGATGCGTCCGGTAATCCCGCTCGTGTGGTAGGTGATGGCGGCCACAGCAGTAACACAAGCAGGGCCACTCAGGGCCCTTCAGAGTGAAGGCGTGAGTCATCTCACCGGGAAAGACTAGGACCAGCGAGGTGCTGGCTGAGGAGAAGGGAACATGAAATGACTAGCGGCAAGAGGAAATGTTAAAAACTGATTGTGATATTTTATTAATTACCTTATTATGTATACAGTAGCGTATATTTACCAGGGACTGTATTCTTTGTAACTCACATTATAACCCAGTTTCCCCTTTTTCTTCTTTCCCTTTCCTATTTAAGGAGTGTCGATGGTGATTAATTTTTTTTAAGTTTATTTATCCTGAGCGAGGAGAAAGAGCGAGTGAGCAGGGGAGGGGCAGAAAGAGAGGGAGAGAGAGAATCCCAAGCAGACTCCACACTGTCAGCAGAGAGCCTGACACGGGGTTCAAACTCACAAGCTGTGAGGTCTTGACCTCAGCTGAAACCACAAGTCAGACGCTTAACTAAGTCACGCAGGTGCCCTATGGTGATTCATTTTCTACAGTCTTTAGGCCATAGGAACCAGGTGAGGGGTGTCTGAACCAAAAGAGGAATCAACACACTCAGATGCACAGGTGGCCAGTGCGTCTTTGAGATGATGGTGGCTGCAGGATGTTAGGCTGTAAGATAGGAGGTGGGCACAGGCGCCCAGAGCCCCAAGGGTGCCCGTGCTAGGCTGTCACGCAGCCTCACATCCTGGCCTGTGTATGGTAGAAACTACAAGTCTGGGTCCCATGCCGGATTCCAAGATGGGACCAGCATGAGGTTTGGGAAAAGCCCCTGTGGCCTTAACAGGTGGCAGGCAGTCAGGACGGGGGTGGGGGGTTGGGTCTCCAGGACTCCTGTACATCCCATCTTCTGACCTTGGCTCCCTGGCCTTGCTCTCTGTATTAAATACCTTCCTGCCTAAAATTTCTCAAGTGGTATTGACTTTCCTGACCAAGCCCTGTTGATAAACCTAAGGAAGGGATGCTCTCAGTCCCTTCCTAAGTGGATACGCTCCTGCAGTACCGTCAAAGGGCACAAGAGCTGCATTTAAGGTGAAATGTAAACTCTGTACGACAACGAGGAAGAAGGGAAGGGAGGAGGAAGATCATCCTCCAGGCAGCGCTTGAACTACCTTCAACTCCATGCGCCCTGCTTTGGGCGCCGGGTCATCTCCAAGGGTTGTAGGACTAGGGCTCATTCTGGAGCTCTTCTCTCCTTCGGGAGCACGGTCCCGAGGGCTCCCCGGGCGGGCAGGACAGGGACTGCAGGACCTCCTCGTACTTCTGAAGCTGAGCCCAGAAACCCGGGTTGGGCTCGGCCACCGGGCGGGCGCTCTTCACCGCCTGAGAACAAGAAGGTTAGGTTGATCCCGGCGCCAAAGGTGCTCCGCACCTCTAACGCCCAGAGGCCCGCCGCACCTGGAAGGCCCGGCCCACCTGGAAGGCCCGCCCCACCGGGCAGGTCCGTCCCACCCGGGGCCCCTCCTGGGAGCCCCGCCCCACCTGGAAGGCCCGCCCCACCCGGCAAGTCCGTCCTCCCCGAGGCCCCACCTGGAAGGCCCGCCCCACCGGCTGGCCCGCCCCACCTGGAAGGCCCGCCCCACCCGGCAGGTCCGTCCCACCCGGGGCCCCTCCTGGGAGCCCCGCCCCACCTGGAAGGCCTGTGCCAGGCTGAGGCCGCGGTGCCGCATGAGGTAGGCGGTGCACACGGCGGCCGAGCGGCTGCGGCCGTTCTTGCAGTAGACTAGGCAGGCGCCGCCGGCGCGCACCGCGGCCTCCATGGCGGCGCAGGTGGGCTCCAGGTGCGTCAGCAGGTCTTCGGCCGGGTCGTCGAACACGGGCACGCGCAGCTCGGCCATGCCGGGCGCGCTCGGGCCGGGCTGCTGACGCGAGACGTTGACGCACAGGCTGACGCCCGCGCGCTCCAGCAGCTCTGGCGCGGCCGCGGTGCGCGCACTCCCGAGGAAAAGTGACGGGGCGATGCGCGCGAACGGTGGCGGCGCGGGCGAGGCGGCCCCGGGGGCCCCGCAGCGGACGGGTCCTCCCGGGTCCATAACCGGCGCTCAGGCACCCAGCCCGCGGATCTAGTTTGGGCGGCCGGGCGGACCGCCGGGCACCCCCGGGTCCTAAAGGGCTCCCGGGGACCCGCCCGCAGGGCCTTGGCTGCCTCCCTATTGGCCGGCCGGAGCGGGGCTCCTTCCCCGATTGGCTGCGGGTAGGGATGGCGGCCATTGGCTGGCCTCGTGGTTGGGAGGACGAGTGGGATTGGCCGCAGTGGGGTGGGCGGGGCCGGGACGCTGGGATGAATGGGCGGTCCCTGGGGGACGCGGAGGTTTCAGGAGCTGCGATCCTTCGCGCAAGGGCGGTGTTTTCGGTCAGCTGGCCTGCGACACTGCCCGACGCTGCGACCGCTGCGGCGCCTGTCCCTGCGAGGGGTGGGGGTATGGTTCACACACGCGGGCACCTGCCCAGAACGGGTCCGGTCGGGCCGGGGCCGCAGGGCCGGAGGGCCGCAGCAGGGCTCCGGGAGGTGGGCTTCTCCTCAAGCTGTGCTGTAGTGCACAGGACTGGGGTCCGGTCCGGTAGCCTCCCGGTCGTTTTGTTGGTAGGCTGCTTGGCTTCGAGTACGCTTAGTAACTACGCATGATTGCATTGCCGCCTGATGTGCCTTTTAGAAAGCTCTATGTTCCTTTTTACCTGCTTCCTAATTGCTCTTTGTAATTTCTGTATCTTAGTTTCACTTTAATTGTAAAACATGGTTCGTATGAAATAAAGCTGTCTGCCCTTTTCATCATTTCTTCGTACACCCATATTTATTTTTTATTTTTAGTAACTTCTGGTTCATCGCTGTAACTTTTAAAAACTGAGATCATTTATTGCCCAACATTTACTATGTAAGAAGACTTCTTCCGTAGGTTTTTTCCCCCTTTTTAAACAATTGTTTCAAACGTTTATTTTTGAGAGACAGGGTGCGAGCAAGGTAGGGGCAGAGAGACACAGAATCCGAAGCAGCTCCAGGTGCTGAGCTGTCAGCACAGAGCCTGACGTGGGGCTCTATCCCACCAGCCTCGAGATCATGACCTGAGCCAAAGTCAGACACTTAACTGACTGAGCCACCCAGGCGCCCCCAGTAGGTTTTTCTGATGTCCCGTGTCATTCAGGGATGTGTTTCAGGGATCCTTTTCGGTGAAAAGCTGTCCTGCAGTGAAGAGCTGTCCTGCAGCCCTGCATACATTGATATTGTGGTTTGTTTTATTAATCATGGCACAATTTTGGTTCATCTATAACAGAGTATCACAAACTAGATGGCTTACAACAAGTTTATTTTTCCCTGGGTTTGCGGTTTCCAAGCCTCTGTCTCCTTATAAGGACACTAGTCATCTGGTTTAGCGAATACCCTAATCCAGTATGACCTCTTGATTATTTGCAAAGACCCTATTTCCATATAAGGTCATTCACCGGTACCCGGAGTTGGGATTTAAACTTAATCTTTTGGGGGGATGTCATTCAACTTACAACAGATGGTACGGTTTGATAAGTTTGTAGGATATTTTGAAGTCGATCACTTCTTTCTCTTTTCATAACAGGAATTTTAAAGACAGTTTGGTTTGTGCTCTAATGCCCAGGCTGCAGCTGGAGGGAGCAGGGCAGAGAGAGGGGACCTGAAGGTGAAGGGTAAGAAGTAAAGAGAGGGGGGATCCAGGAACCAAGGTGGATATGAAGGGAGAAGAGGAATTGAGAGATAGAGGGGTGGAGGAAGCACCCCAGAGCCTTAGCCTGAATCTAGCCACTGGGGGCTGGTGTGGGAGGCGGCTAGGCTTCTTTGCATGTCTCTTTCCCCTCTTTCTAAGGGGCAGTCTGGGTTGAGAACCCCAGGCCCTGCGCCTGCAGAGAGCCCCGCCCTCTCTCCTAGAGGCCCCAGTTGCTTCCTTTGCAGAAAGTCCTTGTGCTGTTTCCCACCACTGTGCCTCTCTGCACATTTAGCCCAGTTCCCTGGACTGCGCTTGCTTTGCTCTTTGGAGAACTCCTGCGCATCCCCTGAAACCCTATTCAGGTCTCCTCTCTCCATAGTCTTCCCTAGAGACTCCTCGGTCCCCAGAGCTAATCCTTTTTCTCTCCGTGACTTCAGTCCCCTTTGTCGACTCGTCCCGAACCAGGCCAGGAGCTCCCGCTCCGTGCCTTCCACAAACTTGCACGGAACCGCCAAAAACCGGCTTTGGAGTCCGGCAGAGCTTGAGGAGATCTTGGCTGTACTGCGTCCCGGCGCGCGGCGGTGGACGATTAACCCCATTGTCCCTCGGTTTCCGCAGGTGTCTCCCGGGCAAACCCCACCATG